GATCAATAGATCATTTATATTACAATACAAGTATTGCAATGATGAAAACCATTCATCTGATTTTGATTCTTTTTCCTGGACAATATGAGACTGACATATTTTACGCATTGCCGGTGAAAGCTTTGGTAATAGTTCATCATACGTTTTAGGCTAACTAAGTTCTGGAAGCATTTTTTCATTTACCAGTACCTGTTTTTTTTTTCTGACTGAGATGGAGCATGCCATTTATTCTCTTCCTCGTTATATCCACCTTCTTTATCCTCATTATCATCTGAATCAGGAGATGCATATTGGGATTGGGAAGGTATTAGAGGAGGAAAGTATTGATATGTTGAATTTGATTTAGCTACGGGTTTTTTATTATCAAGCATCATCTTCCCGAATTGAGATGTCATTTGACCGATTTCATCTACTTTCGATTCTATTCTATTTATTCTAGCATTTTGATTTGACGAACGCAATCATTCTGGTTTAGTTGGTATGGGAGGAGGGAAAGCTTTATCTAACCACTGTAGTGCTTCTTTTCTACTAATATCTTTCCATCTAGGATTACCTTGACCTTTATAGAATTCTTGCATTTGTTCATAATCTTTGGATGGAACTGGAGGGCGAGATTTTTTGGATTGTTGAGTCATTTTTGTTTCAAATTCAGCTTTCAATTTTTTAATCTCGGCTTTTTGTTTTTCAATCTTAGCTTTAGATTCAATCTTTTGTTTTTTCATCATAGCTTGGAAGGATTTTTGCATTTCATTATATGAGGGGAATACAGGTTGTGATATAATACTATCATTTTGCTTTGCTAATAATTTTTTCTTTGATTGTACTTGATCGAAATTTTGCCCTTCATTTAAACTAAAACGTTCGAGCCACATATTTTTCAATATAGTGAAAAATTCATTAATACCTACTATATTTTCATTTCTCATCCAACTATAAAGCTCACGATCTCCTGATAAATGAGTCTTAAGAGTCCCTAAGACATAGGCATCATTATTTGCTATATCTAATATAAGTAGACGAATTCTGGCTTCATACGTATCTGGTGTATCATAAGATTGGAATCTTTCTTGACTCAATCTCTGAATAGCTGAATTCTT